AGGAGGAAATCACGTGGGGGAAGTCAGAGGTGCGTGGCAGTGCTGCAGACTGAAATAATTTAGCACTTTGTCATCCATGGAGAAACTGGGCCATCTAAATACAGGTGCCGGTCTGGAAGGCACCCCAGAATCAAGTCCATCGTTTCCCCCTTATAAGATGAAGAAACACAGCCTAGCAAGAATCAGTGGGGGGCCGGGGGGAGCCTACAGATCAAGTCAGAAGGCTGGCGCTGTGAGTCCCCAGAGTAGGACTCTTCCTTCCAGGAGGAGAGGGATTGGGAATGGATCCAGGAGCTCCCAGAGGAGGCAGGACTTGACCTGAGACCGAGGGATGAGAACAGAGCTGGAAAGAGAGAGGAAGAAAGCGTGCCTAACTCCCCCATGGCACGTGTTAGTGCTCATCGCTCACGAAGCCCCCGGTCATGCTTTGAACCTGTTACAGGGTCCCAGGCACTTGTGTGGTCGCCTTTACGTGGGGCAGGTTTTCCTTGGAACCATTGAGCGGTGCCATCAATAGCAGTAGATGTGGGATAGGATCCCTCATGGGCGACTTCTCTTAATGAGGTGAAAGAGCAGGGTGGCACCCTGTGTGCTTGGCTCCGCACCCCACTCGCTGAGGGCGGGGCGGAGGTGGAAGAGGCCTATCCTTCCCCACCACTCCTTGATGACTCTGAGAGCAGCTTCCATGGGCCATATAGCCTTTGCTGGCGTGACTTCTCGTCGACATAGCTTTTAAGAAAGAAGAGACAACAATTTTGTTGAGGTATAATTGGCATGCAATATGTGCACAACTTGAAAGCTCACAACTCGTTAAGTCTCGCTATGTTAGACACTTGAGAAACCATTACTGCCATCAAGACGCCACACATGTCCATCACCCCGAAACATTGCTTCACGGAAACTCTCAACTCCCCTTCCGCTCCTTCCCTGTGAATATCTCACTGAGGTCCCGCCTCTGGGCCCTAGCCGCTCCTGCTCCGTGTCCGTCAGCACGGACGAGCTTGCCTTCTCCAGAAAGGTGTGTAAATGAGACCACGGGGGAGGAGCTCTTTTTTCCCCGTGACTGCTTTCATCTCACAAACATCGTTTGGACCTGTGTTCATTTGCTGGTGTGCAGCCATCATCGTTCATTCCTCTTCCTGGCAGAGCAGCGTCCCTTTGACGGACTGTCTCTCCTATCCGGAACACCAGATGACACCGTTTTCCTGGTGGGGACATCTGGGGAATGACGGAGGAGGCTTGTTGTCAGTTGTCCCCTCCTGGTGACACCCAGGGAAAGTCAGAACCCGATGTCCCAGCCTGTGTGAGTCTGGGTTGACTAGAGAAACAAATCCAGAGACACTCATCTGTGTATAAGAAAGAGATTTATATCAAAGAGCAAGTCCACATTAAGAAAACATCCCATCCCAGTCCAGCTCAAGGCCGTAAGTCCGATATTAGCCCATATGTCAATACCAGTTCATAGACTCCTCTTTAGATTTATGCAGCCATGCAATGATGCTGGATGCAGGAAGATCACAGGGTGGAAAGTCTTGTGGCTCCAATGGCGGTGGGAGCATCCCAGCGCTAGCATGGGTCTCCACGTGGCTCTTCCAGTTCCAGGGCTCTGGCGGCATCAGTGTAGCTCCATGTGGCTTGTCAGCAGGAGGATGAAGCAGAGAATGTTGAGACAGAGAGGGTATCTGGCCTCCAGTGAGCTACTTAACTCCTTCGCACCTCCAAAATGAGGTCATCAAGCTGCGACCTGATTGGCAGGCTAGACTCCACCCCTTTGCAAGTTGACAGGAGATTAAGTAACTCACACGGTCTACTATTGCCAATTCCCTGGTTGGTCGCAGACAGGACCATTGTGATCCGTAGGGTGATTCTCAAAAGCAGATCTGCAGGCCTTTTTGCGTGGTCCGCCTTAGTGTAGAAGTTCCACAAATACCTGTCTAGCCTCATAGCAACAGGCAGCCCTCTCCTGATGGACGAGCAGCGGCAGTGGGTGAGGTGTGATGGACTGGGATTGGAACCCAGGTCGCTGACGTGGAAGGCAAGGATTCTACCTCCTAACTCATCCTGTCTGTATTGGTTGGAAAGACGTGAACACACGCATGCAGGTGAAGTGACAATAAAGAGGGGACCCTCTGAAGTCACTACAGAGAAGAATCAGCCAGGGCTGTAAGGAGCAGAGAGCAGGGCCTAGAAGTAAAGGTTGAAAGGGGTCATTGGGCCCGAAACAGAGAGAGCCGAGGGATAATTCAGAGCTGTGACGTGTTTCAATATGCAAGAGGTGGTTTTTAAAACAAGGATAAGAAACGAACAGACTCACGGTGCAATGAAAGAGCCTGATAAAGCATAAGGGCAAATCCTTGAGGGGCAGATTGCCTGGGTCCTAGCCCTCGTGCCCACGGAGGACCAGGAACCCCTAGAAGAGGCAGTTTGGGGACAGAAGAACTGTGGCCGAGGCTGTGTGATTGTGGCCCTCAAGTTCCTGCAAAGATCTTTAATACCAGGCAGAAACGTCTTAAGAATAAAAAGCCTTTCTGGACATGCTGAGTGTTTTGTACCATTCTCCGGAAACCCTTGTTTTCCAAAGCCCAAATCCCACAGTCCAAACCCTTGCTCCTCAGCCAGCCTGAGCCTCCCCTTCTCTCCCCCTCGTCTAGAGACATGCCGGCCCAGGCCCGGGACCTGGTGGAGCTGATGAAGAAGATCCCCGTGAGTATGAGGCCATCCCTCCAAAGAGCTGGGTAGGGTGTTCCAGCAGGAAGGGTGTCACAGCCCTAAAAGAGTTCCCTCTCACCACAGGGGCACCTGTTCTAGGCTTGTCTTCCTTAAGAGCCAAGGATACCGATGAGAAGCAGGCCTTACCGGACAGGCTCCCCCTTTGCCTGCCCTCCCTGCCCCAGGCTGCCCACCACCACTCCCACAGGCTGGCTGCAGCAGGGAGAGGTGCAGCCCAGCGGTGGCGGAAACTGGGGCTTTGGCGGCCTCCAGCTGCTTCCCCCTGTCTGCAAGAGTTGGCTGGTGGCCCCCTGTGATGTAAACATTGGCTTCTAAAAATAAGCCGCTCATTCCAATTCTTCCTTCTTTCCTGCTCAGCTCATCCAGCCCCTGGAAAATCCTCCCTGGCACTCTGTGTTCCTGCTCTGTGTTTAGGCCCTGGAATTCTGCTCCTGGCTGGAACCCTTGGATGGGGGTGGCTGGAACGGTTGCAGGCTCTCTGTTTGACCAGATGACTGGGAGATCTTCCCTTCCACCTCTCAGTCGATGACGAAAGGCTCTCTCGCCATTTCCCTCTCCCGGGCCTGCGCCCAGAGAACTCTTCCAAGACATAGCTCTAGACGTTCGCTTCTTCTCGTTAGCTGCCATTGAGTCTGTTTGACCCACACTGAGCCCACGCCCGGTCCAGCCCTGCACCAGCTTCACAGTCACCACGGTGCCCGAGCCCCTTGTCTCCACCACAGGATCCATCCACCTCGTGGTCCGTCTTCTTCCGTGGTGTGTGCGTCTCCACTTTACCCAGCATGCTGTTTTCCTCAGTCCAGGGACTGACCCCTCCTGAGAACCTGTCCAGAGCATGTGAGATGAAGTCCCACCCTCCTCACGTCTAAAGAGTATTCTTTTCCAAAACAGATGTGTCCGTTTTTCTTTTTTCTTCTGACAGTCCATGGCATCGAGTCTCCTTCGGTCTTCCTGATTCCTTGTCCAACTTTGGCCCTCAAATGAGGTCTTTGAACCCACCATGGGCGGAGTCAGGTACACCTTAGTCCTCAAAGGAGATCCTTGCTTCTTATCACTTTGAAGAGGCCTTTGGTGGCAGACCGACCCGGCACCACCTGGTATTTGATTTCTTCACCGCCGCTTCCAGGGCGGTGATCGAAGATCCTAGCACAATGTGATTCTCGAGGCCTCCAGTCTTTTCTCTGTGGATCACGATGTCGATCGGTCCATTGGGGAGGATGCTGGTTTCATGCTGCGGCTTAGTCTGCGCTGGTCTGTGAGCTTCATCTGCAAGTGTGTCAAGAGCTCTTCGGGTTCAGCAGCCAGGTTGTGTCACCTGCCTACTGCAGGTGGCTAGGGAGCCTTCCTCTCGTCCTGATGTTGAATTCTTCCTCCTGGGGCCCAGCGTCTCTGATGATCTGCTCAGCATCCAGGCTGAATAGTGTGGTGAACGCGCCATCAACCCTGATGCACACCTTTCCTGATTTCAAACCCTGTATCTCTGCTCAAACGACGGCCTCTGGTCCATGGATAGGACCCCCCAGGAGTACAGCGAGGCGTTCTGGAATTCTCATCCTTCCCGTTGTTACCCTAAATGTGTTCTGACCACACAGTCAATGCACCGTCAATAACACGCAGGTCCAGCTCTTGCTGGTGGTCTCTGCTTTCAGCCAAGATCCGTCTGACATCAGCAAGGAGGGCCCTCATTCTGCATTCTGTTTAAATCTGGCTCCAATGTCTGGCCATCCCCTGGGATGGACTGCAGCATTGGCTTCTAGAGGCACCTTGGGCTCTTGGCTCCTTTAAACGCTCTGAGATCCCACTTCAGGGGCGTGTTCATCCACTTGGCCTTTCCCGGGCTCTAGAACCTATGGGGCACATGCACTGGATCTCACCACAGACTGCAGCCTTCTAAAGAGACTTTCAAAGGGAAAAGAGATGTTTTCACTGTGGAAGCAGATACACAGAGACACCCAGGTACACCTGCACGTGCACAGGTACTCACACGCACCGGTCCCGCTTTCTCTGTGGAGCTCCTTTGCCAGACGAGGGGGGTGGGTGGGGCTTTGAGGAGGCCTCACATAGTGTCTTCTCTCTGCTCTGATATAAGCAGGATGGAAACGCCTGGAGGTTGTCTGGCCTGGTGAGCACTACGTGCAGGTGGCTCTCCCCAGGTCTGACCTCCGCGTCTTCTGTCCCCTCAGGAAATCAATCTGGAGAAGGACTGGAAGTTAATCACTCTCCTCATCGGGAGCAACGATTTGTGTCATTACTGTGAGAATCCGGTATGCTCTGATAAAGGCCCTCCGGGACCTGGGAAGTAGAGTTGCTGACCTCTGTCAGGATCCTGCTCAAGGGCCACGACCCTTCCCATAACCCTCTACCATTGGCATCACCCTTGCCTAATCTCCAGGCACCTACGTCTGCCCAGGTGGTCCCTGGCCCTTCCCCCTGCCCCAGTGCCCCTCGGAGAAGGGCTGTGTTGGATCCCCGGCCCTTCAACCTTTGCGGTGGTGTGTTTTCTAGGGAAGGGAAGACTAGAGCAATGCTACAAGCAGAGATTGGACAAAGCCGGACTAGTCCTGAGAGTGGCTGGGCGCCCTTCGGGGACATCACAAGCTGACCAACTCTAGCAGACAGGCCTGGGAACGCCAGACCCCATTCCTAATGTGGTTTCTCTGGGGAAATAGGCTCAGACTTACACCCTTTTGGAAGTTGTCACTAGGAATCTATCTCTTTCTCAGTTGGGGACAGCATAGACATATTTAGCCCAAACAGGCAGCTGTCTCAACTCAAAGGTTTCAGGAAGCCGCCGAATAGTCCTGTGTGTGGAGGGGTGGAATTTCTCACTCCTTGTGCCTGGAGGAGGCCAAGTACCGAAGGTTGATGAGAACCTTCAGCCCCCCACCCCCCAACACCCCCCCGCCCCAGGTTTGGCCCCTTCAAGCCTCTTCACTCCTGTTCTTTCCTTAATTTCTCAGACTCCAGAGTCAGAAGTAATCCAACGCCGGGGGGATTTTACTGCTCTGATGTCCTGACCTCCAGGACTTCCTGGAAACCCAAAGTGCAGCTGTGCCCACTAGGGGACACTGGGTATAGGACTGCCCTCTCCTGGCTGCAACAATCCCCCCACCCCCCAAGTCAGTCTGCCATGGTGCGATGGCTTGCACGTTAGTGTGACGCTCAAAGTTATGCCACTAGTATTTTGAGCATCAGTGTGGTCACTGATGCGAGATGGGATTTGAAGGAGACGAGAAGAAACGGCTGGACTGCTTACTTTAAGATAGCAGCCGGGCAAACTCTCGTAGGTCACAAGAGAACACCGTGCAGTAGAGTGCTGGGAGATGAGCCCCACGCTGGAAAGCCGCAGGGGAGCTGAGCATGCTGGCTGTCGTCAGGCTGGCCCAGGACTGGGCGGTGTTGTAGCCCGTTGTCCTCGGGGGTCCCCAGGAGTCAGAGCTCACCCAACGGCAGCTCACAAGGACAACCCACAAATATCTGCCCTTCAGGCAAACAGGTTTCTGTCCCCAAGAGCACCGGCTGCTGAAGGTCACCCCCGGGATGACCTCAGCCAAGTGTGAGTAGCTTTATGAACCTAGACCAGAACGTCTGGTCCTCCGAGGGTCCCGAAGGTCATGGTTGTCTTCCCAGGCCCCTTGCCCTTAGCTGGGCCCACATATAGTGGATGGAGATGGGGGTGGGACACACAGGTGTGGGGCCAGCCATGGATGAAGAGCTAACCTGGTTGGATTAGCAGCTGTGTGGACCCTTGGGGTTTACACTTGACCGAGAAGCCAGAATAGCGTGAAGCGTTCTTTAGAAGGAGGCTATAAAATCCTGACATCTGTGTCTGAGAGAAGGTCACTCACTGCCATCCAGCTTTTCCCAACTTGCTCTCCACTCACAACTGGTATGCTCCCACGCTCCCGCCTCCGGCCAGGGAGGCTGGTCAAGCTGGTGGCCGGGCCCTAATCACCCTGGCGAGGAAGGGGGTCAAAACCAGTGCAAACATAAGGTTGGGATTCCTCAGTGTGTACTGTCTCCTTGCCTATTGCTTCTTCCATCTCTGGGCTCCCATCACCCTTTTTGGTGGCTGAGGTCAGGCACCTCATCAACATGACAAGGTATCCAGGGAGCCCCCTGGCTGGGTACCCTGGCAATTTGTCTCAGGAAAAAGAAAAAGAGTGAACTGTCTGAGCTGCCACCCACCAGGTCCTCACTCTTACCTCCTGCGGGCACTTAGGTTTCCAGCTGTGTAGGAGAACTAAGTCCTCAGCTTCCTGTAGGACCAGTGTTCTGCTGACACCACCTAAGGAGCCCAGGACCATCCCAAACACTCGGCCATGCACTTCGTGCTAGAAACCAAAGGCTGAGATTAGCCAGCAAGCATCTTCTGAGCGCCTGCTATGTCCCCAACCCTGACCACTCCCCAGGATGCTATGGAGACAATCTTAAGTCAGCCTCCGGTGGAGATGGGTCAAGGGAGGAGACCCTGGGCTGATCTTGAGGCACACCAGAAGTCAGGGTGGGTGGAGAGCGAAGGGTCCCAGGCAGTGGGACCATGAAGGCGCAAAGCTCAGAGGAAAGAGAGCATGTGGTTGGTCCTTGGGAGCTGGGGAGACTGCGGTCAGCTGGTGGATGAGGCTGCGAGAGATGTGCTGGAGAGCCAGCAGGGCCCAGCACCACCAGAGTCTGCCTTTGGGCTTGAGATAGTGTGCATTGGGGTGGGAGTAGGGAGTGTCCGGAGGCTCCACTAAGGGTCAAGGGACAACTTTGGACAAGTGATCTTGGGTTGTCCAAGTAGCATCAACAGCTGGGCTTCCTAGCCTGGCCAGTGCCACAGAAATCCTCAGTCCCCACTCTGCCTGTGGCCCAAGCCCCCAGGGCACACCTGTGCTAGGTGCTACCTGCCCTGGTCCTGTTCTCCAAGTGGAGGCCAGAGATGGAGGTGAGCCCCCTTTTGTCTGCACAGGAGGCCCACACCGCTCAGGAGTACGTTCGGCACATCCAACAAACCCTGGACATCTTCTACGAAGAGGTAGGAAAAGGCGGCTGCACTTTCCTGAGCACACTGTCTGCCCTCAGTGCGTGTAAAGGGGCTTCCTTCCCTGCGTGCATCCGCGCAGACTGTGCTCAATAGGATGCACATGGGCAGAGATACCCACACGGTGTGCACATGCGTGGTCCTGGAGGGAGCTGGGGGCTCCTCTGCTGAGAGTCAGATACTATTGTATGGTGGCTGAGCATTTGTCCTGGGAGCCAGCTGACCTGGCTTTGTGGCATTGTGACTTTTCAAGCACTGTGGCTTTGCCAGCACTGTGATTTTGAGCAAGCTAATTCTGTCTGTCCCCCCTTCCCGATCTACAATGCAGGCTCAATAAAGAAGATTCTTCCATGAAGGAATGAGTCAGCCAGGGTGCAGTACAGCACTGATGGAACCCACAACTTTCCTCTAGTTCTTTAATGCTTCCTCCCTCCACTATCATGACCCCAGTTCTACCTTACAAATCCAGCTAGACTGGAGCATGTACACTGGTCCAGATAAGACACAGAGAATCCAGGACAGATAAACCCTCAGGAACAGTACTGGGAGCAGCAGAACCATGAGGGTCAGGGGACGGCAGTGGGAGAGAGGGGAGAAACAGGGAACCAACTACAATGATCGACATATAACCCCCTCCCCAGCCCTCCCCAGGAGATGAACAACAGAAATGTGGGTGAAGGGAGACAGCAGGTGGTGTAAATATGAAACTAATAATAATTTATAATTTATCAGGGGTTCACAAGGGTGGGAAGGTGGGGAGGGAGGGGAAAAAAGAGTAATTGATACCAAGGGCTCAAGCAGAAAGAAAATGTTTGGAAAACAATGATGGCAACATGTGTACTAATGTGCTAGACACAATGGATGTATGGATTGGTATAAGAGCTATAAGAACCCCCTATAAAATGCTTTATTAATAAAAGAAAAGAAGGAGAAGATTCTCCCACACCATACAAGCCATAGCTCCCCTCTGGAGCTGTGTCCTCACTGGCAAATTGAGAAGGGGGAGGTTGGACGGTACAGGAGGCTCCCTCCTGTACTAATCAGTGTCCTTCCACCCCAATTGTGACTAATGAATTCCCCTCTGCTCCCGACAGCTGCCGAGAGCTTTCATCAATGTGGTACAGGTCATGGAGCTGGCTGGCCTGCACCAGGGCCACGGTGGGAAATGTGCCATGCCGCTGGCTGCTCAGTAAGTGGTGGGTCCCCTGGGGTTCACAGGTGCCAACGTGAGACCAGTGCTGGCGAAGCCAGATCCCTGGCATTGCAGTTATCCAGGCACTAGGAGAATTCTCTAGAAATGCCTCTGCTTTGTTGAGTGTATCTAAGTCCCTTCATTTCTCTGGGCCCCAGCATGCTATTCTTTGAAGAGAGGGAGATGGAGCAAATGACCCTTAAAGCCCCTTGACATTGTCTGTGATTCCCAAGTCCAACTTTGGGGAGCTGCTCCTTGTTGAGCGGCAGCACGGGGCAAGGAGCCTTCAGAATAGCCACCTCTGGTCTCAACCCTCCCTCTAGAAGCTGTGGGGCTTTGAACAAACCACAGAGCCTCTTGGGGCCTCTTAAGACTCACCTGTAAAAGGGGAGGGGTAGCATCTTCCTTGCTAGTCAGTTGTGAGGTCGAGAGAAAGTGCACGGATGGCAGTGGGCACACATAGGGTCACCTCTCCATAAATAGTAGCTTTTATCACACCGTGATGTAGCTGCCTTGGGATCCAGGCTTGGGAGTAGGTAGTGGTGTACAAGTCAGGCATTCCCACCGGGGCTGGAAGTCATCAGAGCTGAGCTATATACTCAGGCATCTTCTTAGGCCAAAGAATCTCCTGGAACTGGTGATTCTTATTCTTAAGGGAAGGAGATTCTGCATGGGTCTGAGTCCTCCACTCTGGGTGGAATGGGCTTTCTGTGAAGGACAGGAGCTTGTTCCCACTTTTGAAGGAACCAGGAGGAATAGCCAACGGACCTCGGGGTCCCAATGACTCCTCCAGGGTCTGCTGGTATTGTGTTCTATCTAGTCCGTGTGTCTCGGGCTGCTTGATAGCCCCAAGAGAGTCTTAAGCAGCAGAAGGAACACGAGAGAGAATGTTATACCGAAAGACAGGGCCACGATGGCTGTCTTCCCACGACACCAGCCCTGTCTCCTCCAAGCTCTTTCTGAAGAAACCCCAGGCCTGGGAAGGAGCCGTCAGGTGGTAAGGGGGAATGCTCAGCCTCCCCCCACCAGAGCCTGGACCATCTCCAAAAGGAGGCATGGGGACCAGGGCTCAAGTCTTGTGCCTTCTCTCTCACCAAGCACCCGCTGGCGCTCAGGCTCCCTGAGTTCAAGTCCTCGGAGTCGATCGCGGGTGTGTTGGGGAGGGACTTACATGTGCACCTCTCCCAGCCTTCACTGCCCATGTGAACCAGCACAGGGTCCAGGCCCCAGGGGGTAGCAGCCTCTTGTATGTGTCAAAGTCGGACTGCTCCACCCTCGGGGCCAGGTGTCCATAGGGGAGCCTCTGCCTCAGGGTCTCTGCCCTCCTAGGAGCAACTGCACTTGCCTGAGGGGCTCCTGGGAGAACGCCTCAGAGATGCAGATGCTGAAGCAACTCAACTGGAACTTCCAGGTGAGCCCCTGTGTCCCACCCCTGCCTGCCCCTGGGGGACGTTCCCCGGAGGTCCAAAGCGAGGGCGCTAGGTCAGAACCTACGTTTGGGGAGGGCCAGGCCCTCGTGCCAGGAGGACCACTGCCCCTGGAGTATTTCTAGATCTCGATAAAAGAGACACAGGGCAATCGGACATCAAAGAGTGAAAGGGGGTGCATGTGCATATGGTGGGGGTCAAGAAGACCTCATTTGGAAGCTGGGAGAATCGTGGCCTCCAAACCCAGGGTCAGCCAGAGCAGGTGTACAGGGCTCAACTTGCAGAACAGACTCCAGTCCCTGCCCAGACCAGGACCATGGGTGCCATGTGTCACCCAGACGGAAGGGGAAGTGTTCACTGCCCTGTGGGTCTCCCTGTGGCTCCACTGCCCTCTCCCGCTCCCTTCTTAAGAGCACGTGGCTTATACTTACCTGGCAGGGGAGATACCATGATCACAAAGGTAGTTTTCCCAGGGCAAGCCTATTCATTGCACTCCGGATATGCTGACCTCTGCCATTTCCCCAAATGTGGGAAACTCGACTGCATAATTTGTGGTAGTGGGGGACTGTGTTCGCG